ACCGCAACACTTGGCCTCGTACGTGCTCTGCGGGGTGGCGCCTATCTTGAAAAAAAGGTATCCGGAATTTCTTGCGGATCATCCCATATTTGGCGATCGTCTAAGCGCAATCATCGGCTGCTCGGTGCTGGGCTTTACCTGTAGGCCGGTGTCGGTTAGCTTGAGTACCCCGATCAATTTTTAAGGTAGGTGTTGCTGCTTTATTTTCTGCTATGTGTGCTAGTTGATGCATTTCATTATCGCGTCTGATGGCAAATGTCTGATAGCTTTTGGTCTATCTGGTTAAGCTATTTGTTCAGCTCGGTAACGAAGTCGGCTGTACAGCTGACTACATCCTCGCTGTGCCCTTCAGCTCACGAACTTCTGTCGTCAATCCAGCTGTGCCTTTAAGCTCTAGAACTTCTGTCGTCAATCCAGCTTCTAGCCCATAACTGGATGTGGTGCAGCAGGTAGTGTGGAGTAGTTGCTGCGACGTGCTGTGCTTCCCGACACCCTGGTAGACTACCCCAAGTCGGTATGCTAGCCTCCTGGAAGCTTTGCCCACTTCGGATGTTCCGCAGCCCTACGTGCAACTGGGTGGAGCGCCAGGATGGGGCAGGGGTGCTTATGTCTTTCAGCTAGCTTGATGACGAGGCCGTGGTTGAGAGAGTCGTAGAGTCTTGACGCGTCCATCAGTGCCGACGCGTGAGAGATTCCCAACTCAGCATCACACTCCCCAGCAATAAGTCTGTCGAGGGCGGCCTGTGCCACCGAACTGCCACAGCCTGCGTCGTCCCATGGTGTGTCTGCTTGGCGGGCTGTACCGCCCACTCGTCCCTCATGGCTCTCCTGAGGTGCTCCCAGAGTCTGGCTTGCAACGCGCAGTAGACTTGTCGTTGCCGTTCTCTTTGTTGGAGAGGGAAAGCCCAAGCTTGCAACAACTGCGCTGCCACGACCATGCCAGCATCCTGCTTATCGCGTGGCAGATCTCAGGCTTAGCCTTTACGGGGGGACGTATGATGTCATTGGGTCCGATGGTGAGGCAACCTCTCGGTCTCCCTTTGTTGGTTTTCTGGAGCTTTTCTTCCAGGAGTTCGGCCATGATGGTTTCCAGAGTAGTGGCGTTCCGTGGGGCTCTTTTCCTGATGGTGGAGAGGCGCTCAGCTGCACCAGAAACCTCGTTCTTCTGGACCCACCGGGACTCCCAAGCTTAAGCTCGATTGTTCATGAAACTCGCAGGGGACACCGAAGGTAGTTGGCTGAGGTCCCACTCCTCCGCCCTGTGCGTTGGCTTTGGCCTTGGCCTTGCTGAAGTTTCTCTGCGCGGCGTCCGCGAGGTCCTCCAGCTGTACCTGAGACCACCCGTCTGCCTGATCCAGGGCCTTCTGCCAGGACCTTCTGGCAGTGAAGTGAGTGATGGCACGGTCAACTTGCCTGCTGTGGACGCTAGCCTCCTTAATACATCAACTACTTGTTGGACGACGAGGTTGTCGTTGGAGCCCTTGCTCCTCATGCGAGCGAGACGGCCAAACTGAGAATAGACTGTCGACTACCGACCACCAGTTGCAGGCGCCGTTCGTCGACTGTTGGGGCGCGCCCCTGAACGGGACAGGCCTGACGATGAAGGGCCTGGGAGGGGCCGCTCGTCCCGAACACGGTGGTCTACCTTTGTCTGGAATCTCGTAGGCTTCGCAGTAGATAGCCTGAACCTTGGACAGCCACCTCCCAAGCTTGAAAGCAAGCTCCTGTGACTGTCCGGTATTGACAGGGCGCATTGTGGGACATCTTGAGGGGCTCTCTTGTGGTTCTGCTTGAGGTCCTCCATCTTGGGTTCGGTCTGCTGCCATGGGTCCTGGGAGGTCCTGGTATCCTTGCTGGGGCTGGAGTCCTCTTGGGTGCCCGGTGGTTCCTGCTCAGGCTCCTGCTGCAGCTTATGATAAGCTGCTTATCCGTCCCTGCTTTCGGTGAGGCGTCGCCTGAGGAGTTTGGTGACAGGCAGCCTCTCGTGGTAGGCCTAGGCAACTGGACCACCACCTCTGGTTTGCGGGAGCATGCGACTCTGAATGGTCCAGCTGACTTGCCGCCTGAGGAGTTTGGGGAATTGCGGTCATCCTGGTAAGTCTGTGACAGCTGATCCTCCTCTTCCTGGTGCTCTTCGTACTCCTCCTCTATCTCGTCCATGAGGTCGGGGTACGGCTCGCGTTGGAGGAGGACATGCTCTCCTTTGGCTGGCCTGCTGGTGGTACCCTGGTGGTCCTTTGGGCACTTGTCACTGCTACTAGGTGTTTTTTTTATCTGGGATCTTTTTCTGTTTGGATCGGCTTTCTTCGGGGGCGTCGGCGGATTGGGACACGGTCGGGGTATTGGGCATGTTTGATGCTGAGCGTCTGTTTCGTCAACCCCTAGCTTCAAGACGATTCCTGAATGGGCTGTCCGTTTCCCGTCCCAAGAGCCCTTGACCGATCTCACGAAAGGCAGCATGCTGACCGCAACCACAGCGTAATCAAACATCTCTCCACAGCCCGCGGTGCTGGTGATCTGCATGTCGCTAGGTTTGTGCACTGTCGTTTCCATCACCAGCGTCCACGGATGAAGCTCTTCTGGGGAAGCACTCCAGTCGCTTGCCAGAATCCACGGAAGATTGGGCTCTCCGAAACATCTGGTGGCCTTGAGTTTCATCATATTCTTGCCTTGCATGGCTAGGCATGGGTCGATATAGACCCGTTCGAACATAACTTGCCTCAGGATACTCGATCGAAACCGCAGTGAAGTCCAGGAGGACGACGGGTCCCGAGCCTCATTTCCCCGAGCCTCTTCCAGGGCTTGTGCCGTAGCACTGATCAGCTCTGGCGGAGACGCGAGCAAACGAATTGACCTCTGTGGTAGGTCTGCGTGCGAGACAAGTGCCCCTCAGCGGCGAGAACTTTATCGCGCTGACGAGCAGGTGAACTTGCCGCACTGGTTCACTTTGTGGCCCGGCGTCTGGGGCCTGTCTGATACCCGGCTGTGCTCCAAGAGTTCTACAAGGTTCTGCTTCTTCCAGTCGCTCTGGAGGGCCTTCTTGGAGTTGCCCCCCCTCAGGAAGTAATGCTCCGAAAACAGATCCAACACTACACTTCTTCTCGGGCTTGTTCTGGCGTTTGTTCTTCTGGCTTGGTCCAGCTTGCATGGGGACGCAGGGTCCCGACTCTGACATTACTTCTGGCAAGAAACGTGGCCTCAAGGCCGACCCAGACATCGTGTTTGTCGTTGCCTAGGTGGTACCTATTAACAAGGGCGCGCAGCTGGATCGTGGGATACCTGACCTCCCGCTTCCTGTGACGCCCTCCTGGGGTGTGCACTTCCCATGCCACGGACGCAATGCCTGGCCTCCCTGTTCGTGATGCCGATGCCCCTGCGCGGCAAAGATCTTCTGATAGGTGAACAGCACGGCGAAGTCGTCATCAGCAGCCAGCCTCTCGCGAATGTTGCGCACCTTCTCCTTCTGCTGGCTCGCTGGGTGGCTGGCTGCTTGCACTTTGGCTTCTGAAGCTTCGGGTGGTGCCGCTGCTGCGGGTGCTGCTCCCGCAGATGCTCCTGCTGCTGAGGTTCCCGTGTCGACCTTGCGCTTCTTGCCCTCCAATCTGGCGTTCTCCTGGTCAGCTTTCGCCGATTTGAGGTGGTCCAACGCTCCTTTGACCATGCTGGCCAGGTGCTCCTGGATCTGTTGAAAAGTAGAAGCTGCCATATTGCGTTTTCCAATTCCTGCACATCGCTTTCCTCCAAAGCATGAGTCGCCACCACATCTGAAGTATCCCAGAAGTCGGCCATCGTGGACAAGTTCTGGAGATCGTTTTTCACTTCCATAAGCTCACGTACGCTGACCTGGCTTGGTTGTACTGGCTGATCTTGTTCATGCTGTGGTGCTCGCGGTTTGTGTTGCCAGGTCGGTGCTAGCATCTCGGTCCGCTTTCTCGAGCTCTTTGGCCATGCGGGCGATGTTGGCCTCGAGCTCCCTGGTTGCGTGGTGCCACTTCTCCAGCTTAACGTATTCGTTGTCGAGCTTCCGTTCCAAAGATGTCTGCAACTGCTCCGCCTTCTGCCACCTCCGTCGCGCCGCTGGAGTAGTCGGGGGATGGGGCCCGCGGTCAGCGAGCGATTGGTACCGACGGGCTCCCTCCGCATCTCCTGCGTCTTGTGCCATCTTTGCCAAGTTGCGCGCTTTGAGGAGGAGGAGGAGGAGGAGGAGGAGGTTCCATGGCCGGCAGCGGCCCAGGAGGCAGAGCCCCTTGCGCTGTTGAGTTTGGCAGTGGCGGCCATTCGTCACGCCCTTTGCCTGCCCTACCCTTGCCGACGGAACCTGATCAACCCTTACCTCCGCCTCTCTGGCCTCCGCCGTCGTGTAGTTCTCGGCTTTGTAGTTCTGGTGGTGCTGGTGCTTAGAGTGACGACCCGCAATGTTTGAAGCACAGGGGTCCACAAGTGACAAGCTTCTTGCCTCCGCTGGAAGTATGCCACCCATCACCATCCATGCGGCCGCTGGAAGGAGGCCACCCATCTCCGTCTACCCGTGCTACGTCGGGCTGATGCCATGGGTAGCTGCCACCTCAGCGCCTTGGGCGACACACCCAAGAAGGACTAGGATACCATGGAGAAGTAGCATCCCCACCGCCGTCCCTGGGCCATGTGATGCTCCCTCGGGAGCTGTTGTGGTGGACCAGCAGGGAGCTTAGGTCAGGACGAACTTACCGAATGTAAAAGCTGGCCGCGGATCAGCATTACCCACTTGGCTCGCTGGGAATCTCAAAGCTTTGGGGCCAAGATGGCGACGGGGACGATGATGATGCTGTTGATGATGCTGATGACGATGATGCTGATGCTGGTGCTGATGCTGACGCTGATGCTGCTGATGCTGATGATGATGATGCTGATGCTGATGCTGATGCTGATGCTGCTGATGCTGATGATGCTTATGATGAGGAGGAGGAGGAGGAGGAGGAGGAGGAGGAGGAGGAGAATGATGAGGAGCTCCCTCCCGAGAGGACACGTGGGCTTTTTCCACGTTGAGCGTCGCCTTCAGCGCCTCCTGCATGGCGGGTCCCTCCCTGGGAGGTCTGATGTATGGCACGTCGCTGCCCATACTGGAAGGCAAGCGCTTATTTGCTGCCCACTTCTCCTCCCCTCCCCGTCCTTCTCCGTCTCCTCTCAGTCCTTCGTTCCTCTACCCCTTCCTTCCCCATCCTTCTCCTCCTTGCCTCTTTCTCGTACGCCAGTACCTGCACGAAGAATCACCAGACGTGTCATGGATTTTGGCAGGACGTTTGTTCAATATCCGGCTGGCGCCCGAGCAGGTATTCAGTCAAGGATCCAGTGCGTCGACTATCAAACTTTTGAGCAAGGTTGTGTGAGGGAGTTCGTTTAATAGTATGCGAACGTCATGATGTTGCATGTATGGGGATTTCTGAGTGCCAGCGACCAGCTCAGCAGAGTCGTCGCGATGCCTACGACAATGTGTATACCTACATACCTACATGCGTGAACATCAATATTACTTGCGCGCAGGTGTGAGTGTGGGGGAGGGGGGCGGCTGGTTTGTTAAGAATCTGGCTGTCGCCCGAGGCTGCCCTGTCTGTATACCGTCCTGGAGCAGGAGATATCAGATGCACGGATGGATGGCGCTTCTTTTTCAACTGCGCGTTGTCGCTGAGTGTAGTTACTCGTTCATTCCTACCTAAACATTAATTCCCAGTAGCTACCACCAGTCGAGCGCTTGTGTGATGCCGCCACGCAATGTGCGGTCTTGAAACCGTGATTTTCAACAGTTGAGCAATCTATCACAAGCTAGTTGTCGCCTGAAAATGTTTTGGAGTTTCTTGTCCTTGAGCCCGAGATTCCGGGCACTGGCACGGCTGGAGGGCATGTCGCTCTGAAGCTTGTCGCGGCCTCCGTTGGCGCAGTGCGCACTGCTCACCGAGCCCACAGCAGCTACATCGACGGAGGGCGGCTTGTGCCGTGGCGCGTTCGGCAGTCGGGTAGCGACTGGAGCGCTCTGTCGCATGGTGAGCCGGACGGGTTCTAGCCGCGCCAGTGCCTCCGCTCCCCGTCGCAAGGCCACCCGGGTTCTGTCTTTTCGGCCACTCCCACCTCGCAGGCCTCTGGCCACTCGACCCCTGTCGTGCCCCGGGCCCGCGGCAGGCCCGCGGGGTCCGCTCAGCTCTGCACGAACGAAATGGGCACGGAAAGAATGGGTACAATGCCCAACAGCGGATCCTGTTCGTTTTGAACAGGACTCGCTGTCCACGCCACCGCGACCTGTGTCCATTCGAGACAGAAGGCCGCCTGCCCAACAGCGGCCGCTGTTGATTTGAGACAACATTTGTTGTTGGGCATTGTACCCATTCTTTCCGTACCCATTCCGGGCGTCCAAATCAGCTGTCCAGTGGGCGATCGCCGCAGTGGCAGGGATCAATCTCCGGCTTTTGCTCTCCGAGGAGGGGTCGGAGGACGCGCAGTTGGGGGCGATGAACGGGGGGACAGCGAGGGCTGCCGAAAAGCTTTGGGGCCCAGAAAGGGGCCTTTCGCGCCCGAGGAGTTCGAGAAGGGCACCTGTCCTCTCCCCCATGTACGGCCCCCCCCCCATACAATTTGCGCCCAAAGGGGGTCTGGCACGGAGTGTCGCGTGCCTGCAGCAGTGATGCGTGGTGGGCTTCTCCTGCTGCCCCTGCGCCCTGCCGCCGTCCCGCTTCCCCCTTCCCCCTTCCCCTATGGTCCGTCCCCCTCCCCCCCCCCTCCCTCCTTCCCCGCTTCCCCTCTGGCCCCTCCCCCTCCCGCACCTCCCCCTCCCTCCTTCCCGCTCCCCTCTCCGTAGCCATTTTGGCTCAAGCCATTTTGGCTCAAGGTGTTTGGGACTGCCACAGGAGCAGTGCACCTCGCGCGCCGGGCAGCTGCCATGCGCGCCGGCCGCCTCGCCGCGCCCTGCCCAGGCGAGCGGCGGGCTGGCCGCGCCCCACGAGCCTCTTCCGGCTGGCGCCATGGCGACCGGCCGAGACCGAGCCTGCGCGCCGCTGTGCGCAGGCTCGGCTTCGCGGCCCGCGTTGGCCGCCGGCCGCTCATGAGCGACGTGGCCAGTCTCGCTCGAGTGGCTGCTCGTACCGTTCCCGCAGCTGGCGGCCGTGCAGGCCATAGACATGATGATCATGATGATCGTCGGGCGGCCGAGCCGGAGCCGGTGCTGGAGCGCGCCGCCGCCGCCAGCGACGCCCATGCGCACGTCAAGTGCTCCGCAGGCTCGGTGCCGGCTGCGCGGTACTGGGTGCCCGCCGCGCTGCCGCCCCCAGCTGCCGCCGCGCCGATGTGGTGGCCGAAGCTGCCGTCGGGGCCGCCTCCGAGCTGCGAGCGAGGAGGACGAGCAGTGGCAGCCGGCCCGATCGCTGCTCAGCGACATGTGGGTGGTGAAGCTGGAGCCCGACATCGTGAGCTACAGCACGTGGCATCCGGCACTTTCGCTGCTCAGCGAGATGTGGGTGGCGAGGACGGCCCCGACGGTGCTGCCGACTCGTCTGATGAGTCCGTCTCGCAGGTATCCCAGGCTGCTGTGGCCCCGCCCGCTGGTGGAGGTCCGCTGGCGCCGCCACCGGTTGCACCGCCGCTGGCAGCGCCACCGCCACCTGGCGCTCCGGCCGCTGCAGTGCCGGCTGAGCCCCGCACGACGCCGCCGCCGCTGGATGGGGACGAAGGCGAGGGCCGACGGAGGCGTCTCGCCGAAGGCGAGTCCGCGGCCGCGGCCGGGCCTGTGGCCGCTGGGCGGGATGGCCGCACGGCGGAGGTGGGCAAGCCCCTCCCCCCCAGCGTCCCCTGTCGGGGCCCGGGGGAGGCGGCGAGGCAGCCTACGGGCCCCACCTCGCTTCCCGCTGCGAGTGCGGCGGATGCCGCGGCCGCCGCTGCTAAGGGCTTGAGTGCCCACACCCCAAGGGCGCTCCACCCCGGAGTAGACCCATCAAAAGAAAATAAAGATGGGAATCCCCCCACGAGGCGGCCCCCCCTACCTAGCCCATCGGGCTATGTCGCCGTTGACTCCCTCGCCTCGTCGCCACGGCCGGATCCACCTCGGGAGTCTGCCCCCAGAACGCAGGCCGTCCCCGCCGTGGCGTTCCCCGAGCAGGAGCACCTGGAGGCCGCCGTGCAGGCCGCCCTCGCTGAGAGCTCGGCCGAGCCTGCTGCGGAGCATCGGCGCGGCGAAGTGGGGGAGGTCGTTCGGGGAGCGCTAGCAGTGGCAGCCGGCCCCCTCGATGCTCAGCGAGATGTTGACAGTGAAGCTGGAGCCCGCTATCAAGAGCTCCCGGACCCCGATCAGCCCGTGCGTGAAGTGCTAGCAGTGGCAGCCGGCCCCCTCGATGCTCAGCGAGATGTGGATGGTGAAGCTGGTGCCGATGCCGAGTCTGCAGTGACAGTGCCAGTTGCCCATTCGCCGTCAGAGCCGGCCCAGGCTGCAGCCGTTCCGCCCGAGGCTGCCCCGCCACGCCGGACAGAGATGCAGCGAGTGCAGCGCTGCAGGCCCACTTCGGCCAGCCAGGCTGCGGATCTAGAGATCCGCCTCCTTTATCAGCATGTGTCCCGGCTGACACGCATCTTGCTCAGCCTCGAACGGACGGCTCCGGATTCCCCGCTCGTGCAGAGTCACCGTACTAGAGTGTGCGAACTACAACGATTGGTGGCAGAAGCGGAGGCCAGGCGCGCAGCCTTGACTCCCACCGCCTGCGAGCCCGCGCCGGTGCTGGAGGCGCACGTGCAGCGCGAGCCCGTGCAAAGCGACGTCGTCGTGGTCTCGCCGATCTACCCGGCTGCTGCGACCCCGCCTGTTGCTGGAGGTCGCAGAGGCGCGGTCGCAGAGGCGCGCGTCGCCCCGTTGGCCCGCGCAGCGGCAGTGGGCAGGCCCCTCCCCACCAGCGCCCCCTCTCGGGGCCCGGGGGAGGTGGCGCGGCAGCCTCTGGGCACCAGTCGGGCGGCCGAAGGCGCTGCCTGGAAGCGGCTGTGGGGGTCCACGGAGGCACCTGGGGCTGCTCGGGGACTTCCTCCCAGTCGCCCCCCCGTGCTCCCGGCGAGCCTGACCACGGCACCTGGGACGAGCTGCCCGCCGCCGCACGCTGCCGACCACTCCCGCGCGGGCCGCGCGGCCGAGGCCCGCCCCGCGGCTGCTGGTGCCCTCGTGCGGCTCGCCGCGAGCCACACGGCCGCCCCGACGCCTGGAGCTGGAGAGAGCGAAGTCCCTTCTGCGCCCGCCGAGCTTGAGCGCGTGATAGGGCTGCCATCCAGCCGGCCGCCCTTTCGGAAATACGTTCTGGCGTTGGGAATGAGCTTGCGGTGGAAATGGGTTCGAGTGAAACGTGTCCGGGAATCTAGCCATTCGCCACCATGCAGCAGAGTGTGCGAAGACATTTTTCTGATGCATTTGTATAGGTGGGTGCGTCCAGGACCTCCGACGATGGCGCTTCGATAACCGTGCTGCTGTGTATCTCTATGCGCATCGCTCTTCGACCGTGTCGCGAGGGTGCGAAGTTGTCCTTCCCTCGCTCAGGTACGACATTTATCTTGGCAAGATTTCCGTGTGGTAGTTCCCGTTGTGGTGCTCCACGCGGCCTATTTCTTGCGCTCACGAGAATAGGAGGTGATTGGTCTGCGTCCCAGCCTTCTCCCTCCCTCCCGTCATCATGTCACCTCCCTCCCTCCACCCTTCCCCTCCTCCTCCCGAGTGGCCGAGAGCCACGACTCGGCAGTTCGATTCTTTGTTCGACCCGATGCCGGCCGCTTGATTTGGAGAGGATTGTTTGAGGTGAGGGAGGATAGGATGAGGAGATCTGCATCGCGCTCGTGCCGACGTGTGCCGTCTGCCCCGTCGCAGGTTACGAGCAGGAAGTTTTCGGTTGCGTCCCAGCCTTCTTCGCTCCTCCTCGTTCGCTTCACCCCCGATTCAGCCCGTTTCTGCCATGCACCGCCGCAACGCTTTTTCCAGCAACGGTTCTCGTACGCCTGACCCAGGGGTGTGTAGCGATTTGTGCCAGTGCTCTCAGAGCAGCCAGAGCGTTTGCACCCGTGCGGCACACCTTTCTTAGCTGGGGCATGTCCGCTGCTGTTTCGTGCGCTTCGCGTGT